CTAACTTTGTTTTTTTTTGCAGGTATCCGTTGGAGAACAAAAAGGAGAAAAAAAAAACGGTACCGGAACCGGCACCGGTACCGGTGCCGGTTCTCGGAACCGTTTCGCCGTCCCGGTTGCCGTTACGGTGCTCGGTACCGGCGGTACCGTTTCCGGTGACGGTACCGAACCGGTACCGTATCCAGCCCTAGTAATGAATTAATATTATGCAATTCGAAAATTTACATATATAACATATAAAAGATATAGGTAAAGTCTAAATCTACTCTGTAGAAAAGATATAGGTAAAATCTACTCTGTATTTCAAACCAATTCAAATACAAGCTGCAAACCATTAAATAAGAAAAAGTTAGTTATTACCTATTCATCCTCCATATGAAAATATCATCATGAATCTATATTGACAGTATACTATCCGAGAGCAACTCTAAGGAAAAATTTACAGTATAATGTAGGTCAATAATAATATACATCTAGAGTTTAAACTAATTGCTTTTCTACTGTGTACACTTCCCCAAATTAAGAAATTCCAACCTAAAAATTACCATCCATTGTATAAAATTATCATGTATCAAAAATCGAATGCGCAGCAAATCAAAAGACAACAAACAATCCATTTAATTCAAATATAAATAACTCACGTTTTTAAAAGAAAAGTTAAAAATTGGAATTTGATAAATAAAATAAAGAGAAATAATTAGGACTTGGAACATACCTCGAATCAGAGTAAAGGTGGGAAGTGATTTGAATCGGTCCGCAGCAGCGCCTGGAAACTTGGATGGCAAGTGGCGACCCAGTTTTGTGGAGTTCTAGTGGGAATAAGCGGCTTGAAGTACTGGTGGATAGTCCTGGAGGGGGGGTGGGCTGGCAGTTGCCAGAATAGTACTTTAACGGAAAGAAAAAAATTGACGGCAAAAAGACGAGATAACGACATAGCCTCTTTTATTATCATATCATATCATTATCACATTTTTATGAGTGGTTGACTATGGGATGGAATGGTCAAAAATACCATTCACTCCTCCTGCTAATTACCTCATCTCAATCTGCACCACACCAGACCCCATCGCCGGCATACCCCCCACAGCCACCAGCCCCATCACCACCGCCAACCCCACCCTCTCTTCCGGCACCCCCATCACCGCCAGTCCCTCTGTCACTGCCATTCCCCACCATCGCGGACATGGAAGAATAAGAAGACAGCAGAAAAAGGGAAGAAGAAGAAGAGGCAGATGGTGATTAAGGCACAGATCTATTTAGATCTAGAAGAGGGAGGAGAAGAAGAAGAAGAAGGGGGAGGATCTGTGCGAATCGGAGAAAGAGTTGGAGAAGAGAAAAGAAGAAGAAGAAGAAGGGGAAGAGAGAAAGAGTAGGAGAAGGGAGAAGAAGAAGAAGATGGGTGGGACTGTGCGGATCGGAGAAAGGGCAGGGGAAGAAGAAGAAGAAAAGGAGGAGGAGGAGGAGAGGGTCTGCGCAGATTGAAAAGGGGAGTGGCGGTGCTGGAGGAGAAAGGAAGAAAAGAAAAGAGGAGAAAGGAATAAAAAAAGGAATCACCGATCAAAAAGAAGAAGGAAAGAATGGAAGGAAAAAAGAAAGAAGGAGAAAGAAAGAAGCAATAGGGTAGTTTTGGAAGAGTTTAAAAAATAAGTAGAATGGGAATATCGTTTCCGAATGAAAAAAAAGGTACAATGGGAACATCATTTCCGCGTAACCCGAATAAATAGGTTAGCGAACCGGGTTGCTACTAGATTGGTATCCACATATAATATTTCTCAATAAATGAAAACATTTAATTTAAAAACCAAACAATTCAAACCATTTAAATACATATCGGAGTTTATACAAACAATGCGGAAGCCTTATAATTAAATCAAATACCAACTTTACTAAATTCCTACATCCGCACATCTCCTCCGTCATGCTGCTCTCGGGATAGATTCCAGAATCAATCTTGCACAACCACCTACGTGTAACAAGGAGAAACAAAGGCTACACGCTCAGCAAGGAAGCTGAGTGAGAAATATCTAACAATAAAATACTAGTAACAATAAGCCCAGCTATTCCTAAGGAAGATAATTCGATGCTTTTATTGATTGATCATATAGATTTATCTAGTGACAGAGAAGCATACAAGATCATATACAAAAAAATATACTCAAAATAAACTGGTAAGGTTCTATAGTCTATAAGCATCTCATCAATTTCAAGAAATTTGAAATGTATGTCAACCAAGTAAAACCACAAAATTTTGATAATATTATCAAAATAATTATCTATCTATATTACACACACTTGATGAATTTAATTTATTACTTAGCCAGTCCAGGTCTATCTCTCAAACATTTTTCTACATGGAAATCTCTCAAACATTTTTCTGGTGTGTCTAGTTACTGGTGTAGTGCTGTTGCCAGCTTCCTTCACTGTCTGGCGCTACCAGTTTCATCGGGGGTCCCTGCTACCAGGGTGGGGGTTGCTGCCTCGGTGGTGTTTTGCATTCCCCTACTGAGTTGCGTGAGGTCCGATAGGAAATATTTGTTAGTTATAATCTTTCTGTATTTTAATGTTTGTTGCATGACACTAATCGATGGGACCTCGTTCTTCCGATAGGCCGTTGTTTGCATTGAATTGAATATGTATTATATGATTAAGTTTATTGGTGATATTGTTGAGTTACGAGTAAAGATTGAGTAATAGACCACCTAGTTTACCTAGGAAGAGTTGAATTGAATACTTCGAGAGACATCAATTGGACATTGTTAAGATTTAGGCAATGTGAGGCATGCTCGCAAACTTAGTGGCCTCGAGTTAAAAACTTATGTACGGGAATTTGCGGCCTACTTAGGGATCATCTTTGGAGAGGATTCAACCCGCCCATTGAAGATCTTGGTATCTGAGCATTGGCCTTGAGAGATCCGCTCGAGTGTCCATAACTCTAGCCTGTCAGTATGAACTTTAGCCGTGTACGACGAGTGTAATGTAGTAATATGAGTTATGAAATAAATAATGACTAGTCATGATGTTGAATGATGAAGTTGCATATTCTTCAGATATTGTACCATTGTATGTGTGAGTGCTATTCTATGAGTTAATTCTGGCATTAGAATATATTCTCACTCAACTTTCAGCTAAACTTGTAGTCTTTGCTTGTCTCTGACTATATGCAAGTATTTAGTTGGAGCACTCCTGAAGTGTAGTGAGACCGAAGAGGATCTCTGGATGCAGAACAGTTTAAAATGATTATGACCTAACTATTCTAATGACATGGTATATTTTTGTTAAGCTTTTGCACCGTCTGGATTAACTCTGATAGATAAATGAATTTGTATTGAAATGTTGGATTTTTTTTAATGTGTTTTTCTTAAAAATGTTTTACAGATACCAAATTAGATCATGTTCTGAAAACGATATATTTTTAATGTGATGATGAATAGTATTAGTATTATTATCTTTATTATTATTACAACTATTATGTTCATAACCTTAGTTTAAAAATTATTTCATTTTTCCCATGTCACTATTTTTATGATTCACACTCATTTTTTTCAACATTTCAATATAAATAATACAACTTTTTTTATTTATTAATCTACATGATAAAACAGGAAAACATAAATATTTTGAACTATATTCCAAAAATTAGAGAAAAAGACTAAATTAGGAGTAAAACATAAAACATGTACCAAAATAAGTGTCCCATATTTTTATTCCCGAAATAAGAGTTACAATGCAAATACAATGCCAATCATTAAAGAAAAAATGAGAAATGATATTTTCTAGTTTCTTCTAACTCCTTCCAGTTTCTTCCAATATTTAACTGTTTTTTGCCAGTCGTAAAACCATGCCCTTGGTAACAACCTGGTTCGCTAACCCATTCATTCGAGTTACCCTAGTTGGGGTGTTACAATACCCATGGCTTATTTCGGGAGAACAATTCCAAGTGACTATAGTTTTCATGTAGAAAGCTTTCATACTCGTTCCTTAATATTTACGCCTTATCCGATTAAAGTATTTTAGATTGCCCGAAATAACTATAATCCGAAAGTGATTCTTTTATGATTTGTAAGCCTATTAAGAACCTCTTTCGCAACCTCTACAAAAACTATCCTCCAACCTTGGTTGATTTGGATCCCAAGCTTGGGATAGAACTTGTAACAAAGCACCACGCTCCGCATATGTAGTCCTTCATGGATGTGCTCTAAAGTTTTTCTCAAGCACTGTACGAACATTGCCGTACCAAAGAGACAAGGCGACAGAGAATGTAGTGGTTGACTTTGATACCATTGATACAACTCAAGGGAAAAATATATCATAAAAACTACTAGTTGTTGTTAAGGTGGGAGGGCAGGGCCCTAGACTGTATATTCCCAAGTCTAAGATGGAACCACTAACGCTCGACAAGCCCCCACCTCCGCTTCTCCTGAACGTATTGTGGTACCTAGATTGGGTTAAAGTTCGAGTGTTCAATTTTTGAATCATTCTGTTGAAGCAATAGATTCCGAGTCTGTTTGCCATGCCTCGTACGGAGTATTTAATATGCAAAAATGATCATGCTAATAATGTTTTCATTTCTACATTAAATCTGATCAACTGTGCATAGACAATTAACTAAAATCATAATATCAATCATTTGAAAATGTTTATTGAAAATTTGGAATATTGGACGAAGCCATGCCTTGCAATCTCACTGTATACAAACATTTATTCTTTTGTCTACACACAGCCAAGGAAAGGTTCAAAATATCGATCTAGTTCGGTGACTGATTCAAATTCTCATGTGTGCCTAAAGACTAAAGTCAAGTGGCATACTGGAAGGATGACTTTGTTCAAGTCTTTTGTACTCCCTCCGTCCCAACTTAAGTTGTATGTTTACTATTCACATGATCAAACTTTAATCACGTTATTGATTCAATTTTGCGACCCATTTGAGAAAATAATATAGTTATGTCACCTCTTATTTTGTAGAACTTTTAATGTCATTTTCAAACTTATAAATTTTACTTTTTAGTTCTTTACCAATTTTCAAATAAATTGAATTGAAAATAACTTCAATCAAATCTCGTAAACAACATGCTACTCTACTAAAATACAGGGGAAGAGAAGTGCACTTTTTAAGCTTCAATTGATTTCACAAAGCATTGATGAATTACAAGTATAAAAGGTATAAGAGAGTGTAATTTATCTTACCAAATGCACAATGGCCCTCGTTTTTCAATGAGAGAGAAGTGTGAGAACCTGCTACATCTAAAAAAATTGACACACTCAGGAGGAGAGCACATATGAGAGAACCCAAAAACCTATACTTTCAAACAGAATAACTGTGTTCATGTACAGTGAAACCAGAAGTCTTAAAACTGGTGCCGGAAATTGCTTTCAAAGTTTGAATGAAGAACTTGAAGATTGAGTAGAGCACCAAGTTTGGGGCATTGCTTGTTGCAATAGGATCGCAAAAATGCTTCCCATTGATATGTTAATTATATTAACAGCATCATTGTTGAGCTGAAAACCAGAAATATGCAATAAGGAGAATGATCAAATAAAAAGAAAAAAATACCAACAAATCGATGAATACTTGCCCATTGAAATCCTTCTTTCTCCTGGAATGTGGCACCTATCAGACTTTCACCTAAGTTGGCTATCTGGGAGGCCACTACACAGATAATTGCCTCAGGTTTATTTACCTGTATATAAAGCGAACGTCTTTGTTAGAGCTTGAAACACAATACACTTGCATCCATCTTCAACCTCATAAAGGAAGTAATATACGGATTATGCTAGAAGGCCGGCATGGGATATACCATGGTCCATGTTATCCATGAAATTATCAAAGCATTCCTACATGAATAAATATGTAAACTTAAAGAAATGTAGATTTTTATCTCACTGGAATAGCGTACACCGTGACTGTAGATCAGATTTTCATCTCACTGGAATATGGAATGTGTTTGGTCATCAAGCAACGTAGGTAGGCGGTAGGCCTAAACCCCCATAGAACATAGGGATTGATTTACCAGCCAACGGGCAAATTCTGAATCCAGTCCTTGTTTAGGAGGACATGTTGACCAATGACCAGCATAGTTTGTAAGGCGCAAAGGCGAGGCGCCAATGTACCTTCATATCGCCTAGGCGACGACTAAGCGACATATATATATATATATATATATATATATATATATATATATAGGGGCTGGTTCAAGTGAGAATGCACCTTAGTGAAAGAAATAAGAATAAAATCTGGCCTTTGGATCTGATGCATCGTGCGGCTCAGATTACACTCTGCACTCAAATTTTGAGATAGTGCATTTTCAAAGGATTATGGTGCATTTCAACATGATGCATTTTCAAAGCATAGTTTGTAAGGCGAAAATGCATTTTAGATTGTGAGATCTAAGGGTCAGGATTGCATCAAAATTAGGTGCACCAAAATGGTTTGAAAATGCATCACGTCGAAATGCACCATAATCCTTTGAAAATGCACTATCTCAAAATCTGAGCGCCGGATGCAATCTGAGCCGCACAATGCATTAGATCCAAAGGCTAGATTTTATTCTTATTTCTTTCACCAAGGTGCATTCTTACGTGAACCAGCCCCTATATATATATATATATATATATATATATATATATATATATATATATATATATATATATATATATATATATATATATATATATATATATATATATATATATATATATATATATATATATATATATATATATATATATATATAGGTCTTATACATTTTAAAGAAGCTTGATCAAGACAAAGAAGACCAGTGACAGCGCCTTATCGCCTAGGCGACGCCTTACAAACTATGATGATCAGTCTAGTCCTAAATTTCCTAGAGGCAGGTATACCAAATCAATCTGCTAAATCAAGTCTTTCCCCTTCCCCCAATTTAGACTCTTAACCTGTTTTTCATACCTGGCCCATCATACAAGCAACAACAGCAAGAAGAACTGAAGCACATAATCCAGCAAATGTTCCTTCAGCACTCACACCCCCTTCTGTTCCTCTTGGAACTACCCTAAAAGTTGAAATAAGGTACCTGCAATTTCAGTGCCAAGTCATTTTCATAGAATAAGAACTCTTTCTTATTACTCCCTCCCTCCGTCCCTAAATAAAGTTCATGCATTTTATTGGTCCTTCATTGAATAAAGTATTATGGAGTATATCTTTATTTGGTAAAATTAAAAGGTTTACTTTACATAACCACTCTTATTTAATATCTCCATATACCACTATTAATTACTCCCAAGTCCCAACCACACATTACACGGGCAAACTTGGATCTCAAAAGCAAAACTTGTGATTCATTAAAAATTACTCAAATCAAAATAGGAACTGCTGTTCAGTATGGATGGAATAAATGAGTAATCAGTCTTTGTTGTTACTTCTTCATATGCGCAATCACGTGTTAGTAAAGCATCATAAAGACATAAATAAGGAGTGTATGCATAATATAGTCATGAAACTGCTAGTATATGAATGTTGTCAAGGGTGGACAGTTAGTACTGACGTGGTTTTACCATAAGCCTTCCCTATCTCACTTGCGACAGTATCGCTCAACTTAGTGCAGAAACTGGCGACAAATCCAATGTCCCATAACCGGGATGATGTAGCCCCACCAATCCCGTTAATCGTCAGGAAAGCACAAAGGCAACCAGCCGCACTGGAACCAATCACACTCCCCGGCCCTCTCCTTCCTTTTCTCTTCTCTGCAACACCCTGAGCTTCCTTCTCAGCCATTTTCACTTTAGTCACTCCTGTTCCCTGATGAACTTACATTTTCTCAAACCACATTCCTCAATTCAAGTAAATTGCAGCACAAAGGTCCAATTAGCTTATGCATTCTTCCTAACAGCGTTCTCTAAATCTCTAATTTTTCCTCAAGTTGAAAATTGACAGATGAGTATCTTAATCAACAGTTCCTAGAATGTATTCAGATATACTCCTAATAGTTACTCATTAATACAAATCTGAAAAGCAGAAAGCAAAAAGGTGTCAAGTAAAGAGCGTAAAGACAGCAATTTAAAATTAAGAAAGAAGGGCTAAGAAAGATTCATTAATTTTGAGCTTACAATTACGAAATAAGTTGCTACAAGAAAAAAGCCAGAGGGTCCAAAAGCGCGCCAAATGAGAACTCCGAGCAAAAAGGCTGCCGCAATGCCTGAAAGAGACAGTCCAGAAACCAGAATTGGTGTGGCCATAAAGATGATGATGATGTTGCTGAGAATGGCAGACTGCCACGTTGGCGGTGAAGCTTGGACTAGCTGCATCACTCTCTGTAACAATCCCAGATCGATCGGCGTACCTTGGTCCATGATATTCGTGGGCGCCCAGAGAATTTAGAGAATTGCCAAGTCGCTAGGGTTTGAGCGGGAGGAAAATGGGAGATTCGGCCATTCAGGATTCAGAAGAGAGAATTCAAGGAATTCAAAAAGCAAAGAAAAAGAAAATGAGGTGAAAAATAACTTTTTTGTTTGGTTAGATAGGAAAATGAGGAAAAAGGAAAGAAAATACAAAATATACTTTAAAAAAACAGTCCAGTCATCGTGTGGTATGCACAAGTTGACGTGGAAAGAGCGTGCAGTGGCATGCACTGCAGTGGCAAGTCATAATCTTTGTCACTTTTTTACATTTTTATGTATTTAATTATTAAAATTTATTTTATTTAATTTTTTCACAAAAATAATTCTACTTTGTTTATACTCTCTCCGTTCCCAAAAATGTTGTAGGTACTATTTTAGATTTTTGATAACATTTTTTGTGCTTCCCTTTTTCACGGTATATTTAATAAAATAAATTATTCTTATCGCTGCTTATTTTGTAAAATTTTTTATATAATTTTTAAATACTGTTCAATTTATAATTTTTATTTTCTTACTAATTTGTATATATAGAATTAATTTAAAAAAGATAATATCACATTAATCAAAAGAGAACAAATATTTTGGGATTAAATGATGAATGCAAAAAAAAGAGAAAAATAAAAAAAATGGATGCCTTTGCCTCGCACATGGCTTGGAATCCGTGTAATATTTCATTTGCCACGCAAAACAAGTACAAAAGAGGTTGATGTGGCAGGGCGAGTCATGGGAAAGCCTCGCCGCTGCTTGCGCTCTTAGATGGGATATAGTACCGATTTTGATTTTGACGAGATTATTCTACCTAGAATTTTAGATGTGCAAGCAGTTGCCACGAGCGGTCGCCCAATTGACTACACCAAGGGTGGCAAAGGGGCTATAGTACTGATTTTGATTTTGACATCGTCTCAATATGTCAAGCATATTGTCTTTGTAAATATTAGTCTTTCCGTCTAAATTTAAATTTTACACAGAGTATTTATTATTCACATGAATCACAGCATCAAAATTTAATATGGTCAGACAGCTTTGCTGGGAAGAAAAACAGATTTGTACTCCTCACTCTGTTTATTGACATTGGACACATTTTCTCCATACTCTCCACAAAGTTTTTGTTCCTTGTTGTTGTTGAACTTCCAACATTGTAATCCAACACATCCTGCAATTTTAAGCTTAAAAAGTCATTATATTTTTTTTAGAAAAACTACTCTCTCGCTTGTGATTTTATTTTAACAGACACAAATTTTCGTTGGGAAGTACACTCTGGCTGTTGAGTCATTGCTTTTGAATTTCTCTTTGTGGTTAAGAATATCAGCCCGTAAATCTATGATTTCAAAAGAAACCACTGAGTTCAGTTTCAAGCTTTGTAAGTGCCCTTTCTTGATTGCTCTGTCACCTTCCTTGTATAATACATTGCTGATACAAATAAGAAATCATAAGCATGCCATGTCATCAAGAATGAGTTCAAATTCAACACCAATACATACCAGAATGAGTTTTGCTGTACAGATGAATGAACATAAAGACATACCATAATGAGTGCTACACCAAAAAATAGTAGTAGTATGCATATAATTAATTACAATAACTTACTCATCATTATCTGTAGAAAATGTGAAGGCTTCCACCATTCTCTCTTCAATTGTCAAGGTAGACCTTATATCTACAATTCTATTCATGAATGGTGACTTTAGAACAGCTGAAAGTGCGACATCTCTCTTTCTACCCTTTTCCCTTTCTGCACATTCATCTTGATTGTCTTTTTTATTAAGCTCAACTTCTATATTGTTCGTCTCCACTGCCATGTCAAGAATCTGGTCTTCACTTGGAACTTTTTTTAATTGGTCCCATCTGCCACATGTCCCACACCTCCCACATCTGCTTGCAACTCTTCATTCTTTGTGTGTGTAGGTTCTGTCACATGTCTTAGATCTTCCACACATGCTTCCATACCTTCTGTCACTTGTCTTACATCTTCCACATCTGCTTTTCCAACTCAATATTTTCTTCTGTCACATGTTCTGCTTCCACCCAATCATTCTCTTTGTGTGCATGTTCTGCCACATCTCCCACATCTGCTGCCACCCCCAATCATGAACCATCTCATTATCACTTCTCTCTTGGCTTTCTTGTGAAATGAGCCTAAAGGTTGGCCCATCATACTGTGCTCTCTCTTGTCGCTTTTTATGTGCTTTTTCTATAGCATCAATAACCTGCATAACTTCTTCACTTCTCCAATATTCATCATCTTGACTAAAAGTCCATTCCTTTTCTCCTTCTCTTGTGCTTTCTTTCTCCTGTTCTTGTACATTCTCTTTTGAATAACCATCCAACAAATTATAAACCCTATTTACAAGCATTTTCATTGCTTCATCATCTGGCAACACTTGATCGAACAGCTGCTCGAAACTTCTCATCAAATGTAGATATTGCTTCTGCCAAATTCTTTGTGGCCGAAGCAAATACTTTTATAACATCCTGCAATGAATTGCATTTTACATCATTTTTACCATGTTCACAAATTAATATTTTTGATGAAATGAATAGTACTATAACCTTACCATTTTTTCTTTTTGAACATGTAATTCATCTTGATTTCCACCATCATTTTTGTTTGTCTCACTTTCTTTGTTGAGATTTTGACTTGTCAGTTCAACTTTTTCAACAACACATCGATGTACCCGTAACCAAATCCTCCGCTCTTTTGTTCAGCCCTTTCTCGTTCCCACAGTAGTCTTGCATTCCACCCAACGAAAGAGGGAAACTACCTTTGAACTCTTCTGCTTTTGAAAATGACATTGTCAATGTAGAAAATCTGATTATCATTTCATCAAATAAATGTGTTAATACAACGCACAAAAAATATATAAACATTTCTGAAAACAAATATAAAAGTTAGAACTTACAATTAAAAACAGCAATGGCCCTCCAAAGAATATGATTTTGTTGGCATTCCAATAATCTGTTGCCTCTATCAAGCTCTCCAAGGTATATAAACACCAGTTAAGGTTTTTTATTTCAGACACGTTTACTAAAGCATTCACAATTTTATGCGCTGCTGAACAATTCTACTTCCCTTCAATTAGAAAACTGACAATCAATACCATTAATTAAATTCCTTTTGAACATTTCTCCTCCTCCCTTATTCTCTTAAACACATTTTCTCACATCTGCTATTTTAACTGTTCCTTTCTGAACTGGAAATTGTAACTTCCAAGCTCTCATCACTTCTCTTGCTTCTTCAGATTTCTCTTCATTCTTTTTCATCACACTTCCTCCTCCCATTGGAAATCCAATGGTGATATGAATGGAAGTCTCATCAATGTGAATCTCTTTTTTACCCGGCAACTACAACAAAACACTTCTGGTATCAAAATTTTCCACCAGCCAATAACCTAACTGCAGAGGAAGATGCGTGATATCCAACTGTAACAACGTACCAAACCCCATTTCCCTAACATCCTTTTTTTGTTCTTCACTAATATTTTTAAACACTTGAGTTATTGTTTTTGGTGACATCCTTGTCTTTATGGACTTCACACCAATCTTATTCAAGTCTTCTTATTCTCCCACCAGCTGCTTCTTTCTTCCTTTAATTTTCTCTCTCCATCTTTTTGTATTTCATCTTACCTTTTCTTTCTACTGTTCCATCTTTCTTCTTCCTAGCACATTCTTCCTCTTCACTATACCCTTTTTCAGTGTTTACTTCATCTTCACCATTTCCTTGGTCAGTGTTTAGCTCATCTTCCTCTCTCCTTTGCTCATTGTTTGCTTCGATCTCAACTTGTGCCACCAAAAACTTCTCACCGTTAAATTGGTCAATGTTTTCAATGCTCAGTAGTTCATCTTCTTGTGAAATTGGATCTTCTTGAGCTTGATTGTTTTCCTGCTCAACATTTTTTCCCGGTATTCCTTTCTCAGTTGCATTTTTCTACCAAACTTGGTTCCTTCTCAGTCCCTTTCCTTTTCCTCATATTTACTTTAGTAAAAATATTTGGTTCTTCACGTAGTAGAGGGATTTTCGTCATGGCTTTTTTACTGCATAATTTTCATGCACACATTTCAATAAGATTTTTAGCTACACAATACCGATAACTGAGTACTATCATGTAATAGAAGGAGTACCAGCAGTTATGAGAATGTTCATATTCTTATCCCCACACAAAATGTATAAATTTGGGCTTTAAGTTGTCTATACAGAATGAGAATGATCATATTCAGTACTTAGAGTATAATTGAGTACCAGAATAAGTCATAATGTACAGTGCAAAACATGAGAATGATCATATTACAATCCCAATATGAATGAACTTTACTATCACAAACATAACATGCACCTACTCTGCATACTACAAATGAGGACCATTATAGATTAGAATGAGTGATAACACATACGAGAATGGACATAATTCAATCCACTACTTGAATCCAAAGCACACCAAATTGGTTACTAGCACACTATCCAGAATGAAACTCTTTTATTTCCAACACGAATAGATTCACTATCCTACTTTTTATAAACAAAGTGAATCCAAACAACCATAACATCTATTCAATGCACAGAATATATATGAGAACTATTATATATGACAATGAGTACCAACAGATTTAATTTGAGGAGTACCAGTAGTTATGAGAATTATCATATTCTCATTCACTACAAATATGAATAAACTTGAGTTTTAAATTCTCCATGCTCAGAAAGTATAATTGAGTACGAGTATAAATCATAATGTGTTCTACCAAACAGGACAATGATTATATTACAACAGTTATGAGAATTACCATATTCTTATTCAATACAAATATGAATAAACCTGGGTTTTAAATTCTCCATGCTCCGAGAGTATAAATGAGTACGAGTATGAATCATAATGTGTTTTACCAAACAAGACAATGGTTATATTACAACCCCTATATGAATGAACTTTACTACTGGACCCATAAAAATGAGTACCAGTATACATGACAATGCTTTATGCCACATACTAGAATGGACATAATTCAATCTGTTACTTGAATGAACATGCCATGTGACATTTTCTATGGCCCATTCGAGAATGAACTTAACAACTCTCTAAAATACAAACGAGTACCATTATATATGAGAATGAGTATAAGCGCGTACTAAATTGCTAGCTTACACTTCAATGCGAGAATGAGTATAATAACAGATG